CGGCGCACCCAGCATCCTCCATCCCTAAAACGTCATTTCCGAAACGGGCGGAAGCTCGTAAAAAAGATGGAGGATGCCGTTTCGATATTTAAAAACACTTCCGGGTTTGAAAATAAGTTTTGTAATCATTTTGTAATTGTTAAAAATAACGAATATTTAACAAATTACAAAATTAACGAACGAAACCGCCCAGGCCTACTAAATCATAATCACATTGGTTGCTACGGCATCACAACACTGTTTTTAATTCAATTCAGGATAAAATAGCTGCCATCCCCTTTCTCCTTTGTTGGACATCCTTGACCTTCCCTCCTATATTTGAAAATATGAATTCAGTCCCAGAAATATGTTCACTTTGGCACTGGATTTTTTTAAAGTGGAGGGGGGGGGATAAAAAAGGAGGCCAGACAGCCTGATTGGTGGAGTGGATGCTTTACTGTAGTAATGCATTGAGTACCAGCCACACTCACTTCAGATGTGGGTCCAGTGCCAGGAAGCCCAGGAGAGGGAGGTTGGCCTTGAGGAACACCAAGTGTTCCACTGAGGCAGGGTTCAGCATGGTATGGTGAGGGGTGATGACATCTCAGGCTGTGCTGAACACCCTCTCACTTGGCACGCTTGTTGATGGATAGCTGAGGTGTTCCCAGGCAACTATCACCGGATCCTGCCACATCTGTCCCCAGGATGCCCAGTAGGCAAACGAGTCATGGGATAGACCTTTCACTGGCTCCTCCAGGTACTGGTTGAATGAAACATCCACCAGGTCTGTCCTGCATGACTGGGCATACTCGAGCCCAACTTTCTTTGTCAAGACCCTGGCAAAGAGTCCCTCCACCTGATGCTGCCACCCGCCAGCCATTGGGATAGGCACTTTCCCTCTGGCATTGTTGCTCAGGGTCCCCAGTGCAGATGATGGTGGCTAGTGGTGATGCCAGGTGTGCTAGCAACAAGGTGCTTGTCTACAAAGCTATTGTCCTCCCAACCCTGCTATATGCCTGTGAAACGTAGACTGTCTACAGATATCACATGCAACTCCTGGAAAGATTCCATCAGCGCTGCCTTCGGAAAATCCTGCAAATCTCCTGGGAAGACAAGCAGACAAACGTCAGCGTGCTGGAAGACGCAAAGACCACCAGCATTGAAGCGATGGTCCTCTGCCATCAACTCCGCTGGGCCGGCCACGTTGTCCGGATGCCTGACCACCGCCTCCCAAAGCAGTTGCTCTACTCTGAACTTAAGAATGGAAAACGGAACGTTGGTGGACAGGAAAAGAAATTTAAAGATGGCCTCAAAGCCAACCTTAAAATCTCTGGCATAGACACTGAGAACTGGGAAGCCCTGGCCCTTGAGCGCTCCAGCTGGAGGTCAGCTGTGACCAGCAGTGCTACAGAATTCAAGGAGGCATGAGTGGAGGGCGAAAGAGAGAAACATGCCAGGAGGAAGGCACGTCAAGCCAACCCCGACCGGGACCGCCTTCCACCTGGAAACCAATGCCCTCACTGTGGGAGAAGATGCGGGTCAAGAATAGGGCTCCACAGCCACCTACGAACCCACAAGGAAACGCATAATGGAAGACCATCTTACGCGTCCAACGAGGGATCGCCTAAGGAAGGAAGGAAAGGAAAGGCTAGCAACACCTTCTTCCTCTCCAGCCCTGTGCAGGTATACTGCCCTGACTGCTGACACCAGTTCAGACTTCCAGTGTGCTGAAGAGGTGTATTTTATTTTTGTTGAGATGACAGGAGCAGAAACAATATCTCTCCCTTTACCTCTGAAAACCTGGCCACTGGAGCTAGCCCTAGCAGCACCCACCCTACGCCTTATTATGTGGTAATAATATGATATAAGTGTTGGTGTAATAACAAGTACTTTCTTAATTTATATGTGTGCTTGTGTGCACTAGCTAGCTACCTGTGTGGTGGAAGTTGTTTGGACACACACAAACCAGAAAACAGCAAGCCACAGAACTTGCAGGGGATAAAGAGAATAGGACAACTGCACACAACACACACAATAAGCTGATAAAATAAGAATTTAAGAACTGAAGGGAAGGGAAGGGCTGTAAAGTTTTGGGAGGGAGTATAGCTATGGGAATTTTTAAAATGTAAGTTTGGGGTTGGATAATTTCAAAGAGGAAGGTTCTAGACTGGATATGAAGACACAGAAAGTAACAGAATTATCAAAAAGCTACTATTATACTAACTTTAAGTTTTAACAAACACACAGAATGGATCTCTCAAGCACACATCTTTTTCTCTCACCTGCAAACTCTACAGAGAAACACAGATGCTGAGGGAAGGAGATCGGCTTTGCAGAAACCGTGTGATTGGCTGACAAGAAAAAAAAAACAGCATGCAGCTGCTGTTGCCGATCACATCAGCTCCCTCTCCTCCTCCAACTCCAGGCAATTAGGGAATATGTTACATTGAAAAAGACACAGCTTGAAATGCTTCTAAACTACAAACCTTTAGTAATCTCTCCAAAACATTTCAGAGGTTTTCGTTTCATTTTGCAATGCTTCACGACTAGACATTAAGTCTAGTTGTGTCTGGCTCGGGGGGGGGGGGGGGGGGGGGGGGGGGGGGGGGGCGGTGGTGCTCATCTCCATTTCTAAGCCAAAGAGCCAGCATTGTCCATAGACACCTCCAAGCTCACATGGCCAGCATGACTGCATGGAGTACCCTTTCCTTTCCGCTGGAGCGGTACCTATTGATCTACACACATTTGCACATTTTCAAACTGCTAGATTGGCAGAACCTGGGGCTAATAGTGGGAGCTCACTCTTCTCCCCAGATTTGAACCGCCGATCTTTTGGTCTGCAAGTTCAGTAGCCCAGTGGTGTAGCCCACTATGCCACCAGGAACTCCATACATCTCTCCAAATTATAAAGTGGGCCTCTGAAGCTTTGCATAGTCTTATTAATTATATCTCATAAGGTGAAGTCAAGGGCAAACGAAATATCCATAGTTTGCATAATACCCCTTATCACTTACACTGGTGCCTTTGCATTTATCCAGCTTCATATTTCTAAACTTATATTGCTGGCCTTTTGATGACCCAAGTGGGGTTCATAAGATGGGATCTATAACAAAGCACTAACATTTCAAAGTACAGTGCCCCTCCACATTTGAAGATTTGATTATTTGCTGATTTTATTAAAAGAGTCCCTCTTGCTCTTCTGATGCAATTTCCTCTAGATGTTGATCATAGAATCATACTGAAGAACCTAGAGATTCCTAGAAAGAACATTTCTCTGTGAATCTTTAGTGGTATTCTATGATCAGATTCAAGCATGTGTTGACCACAGTGCTGGATAACCTAGAAAGTCCTAGATGGGCTTATCTCTCTGATGTTTTCCCTTTCCACTGTTCCAACTGGTTATTTCGTAAGTCCAAATGCCTCCCCCCTTCCATATCTAAATGGCATGAGCGTTTTGGGGGGGGGGACACCAAAGATTCTCCCCCGACCCCCACTAACTTCTAAAGACAACGGAGCTCACATTTCTCCATCTTGCCTCAAAGAAACCAACCCCAGAAGTCCCAGATTCAAGCATATTTTTTGCATTTATTTTAGTACACATATACATACATAGACAACCCCCCACCCATGTTGCAGTTACACCTTGTCCCTCCCTCGGTGCACCCACCACCTTGGCTTCCATCACTAATTCTCATAGAGTTTATGCTCATTTTATTTAACCCTTTATGATTATAGGTCAATAGATTCCTCTTGTTTTTATTTCTTAACTGTTCCCATCAGATATGCTATAGCCAGCTTCCAATTTATTCCAAAAACTTCATGGCTCCATGTTTCAAATTACTAGAAATCTTGGCCAGCTGTGTATAATCCCACAGTTTGTCCCTCCATTTTTAATGCTTAGCATTTTTTCACCTTTCCAATCTTTGGTAATGGTTATATGTGCAGCTGCAAAGCTTTACTGGCAAATTTCTCTTTCCGGCTGCTCTAGATGTTTTCTGAATAACCCTGATAGGCACATCCCTGGATTTTTTTTAACTTTGTTGTGGATAATTTTATTTGTTTCCTTAATAATATTTTTCCAATAAGCCAGCACCATTTCACAAGACCACCACACATGGGAAAAGGTTCTTTTCTTTATTTTACCTCCAACAGAATCCTGATTGTGAATGATCTATTTTGGCCAGGAGAGCTGTGGTTGTATAGCACCTGGAGAACATTTTATATAATTTGTCTCTAACTGAAACCACAACTGAAAATTTGAAACCTTTGTTCCACAGGTCTTCCCATTTATCAAGATCTATATTTCTCCCTAGATCTTTTGCCCATGAAATTATGGAGGTTTTTACTTGGTTGTCTTCCAGGATATATTTATACAATCCTGATATTATACCATTTTTTTCCATTTTTCTAATATAGTTTCAAGTTCGGATTTTTTGAGGCACCCCACCCCCCTTCATCCTTTTTAAACCTTTCATAAAATTGGTGATATCAGAACCAGTCTTTAGTGCTCATTGGCCGTTGAGTCTGATAAGAAATTCACCATATGTCCTTATTTCATCCTTGGAGGTGGGTTTCACAATGGCTTCTCCTGATCTCAGACACAGGGGTGTTTTCTGTTCCATGCCTAACTTGTATCTGTTCCAGACATCTATAAGGCTTCCTCTAGTTATATGTTTGCTAAAATCCTTATTAATATCTATCCTTCATACCATAGGTATGTATGCCACCCAAATTGTAATCTGTGTTCTTCTAGATTAAGTAAATTTGTATTCTTTAGTTGTATCCAATCTCTAAACCAGCTGATACAAACTCATACTAGAACATATTTAGTTGTATCTAATCTCTAAATTAGCTCATACAAGCAGCTTCATAGTAGGTTTTTAAGTCTGGTAAATTTAGGCCCCCTCTCTCTTTGGCATCAGTTAAGTTCTTGTACACAGTTCTAGCTTTTTTTTTTTTCTTTACCAAAATTAATTTCATAAAGTTTCTTTTTATAGATTATAGATTTTGGTCAGTTTAATGATGGGTATACAGTATCAAAGTAGTATCTTGAAAAAAGAAAGAAGGCGAGCTGAGCTTTATTATCCCGATTTCCTTCAGAAGTTGGAGAAGAAAGAACAAGGGCGTCATTATTTTCGTCCCAAAAGGGCACCATATACGCTTCCAATTTTTGCTTGAATCTCCTTGAAGCCAGCTGCAGTGAGGAGTGCTTTGTGCTCTGATGAAGTCCGGGTTTTCCCATCAGTATGGACGAGTAGCTTTAAGGAGATATTATGAGCTCCAAAGGATTTGACTCTTTCCTCGCCAAGAACAGGTTCAACTACTAAAACTCCACCACCTTGTTCAAAATAAATGTTAAGAACAAAATGTATGAGTATTGGTTTCAATGGCATTGTGAAGAATAAGATCTTCTGGGGAGGTCCTTCTCTCTTCCACCTCCATCACATGAGAGGTTGGTGGAGACGAGAGAGAGGACCTTCTTGGTTGTTGCCCTCCGGCTCTGGAATGCCCTCCCCAGGGAGATCAGAGTAAAACCCTCCCTATCCAATTTTCACAAAGATCTAAAGACGTGGATGTTTCATTGTGTGTTTGACTAAACAATTCCCTTGACAACTGGCCCCAGCTAGGATCCAAAAATGTTGGCCACACACTTTACTACTATTGTATTCAAAGTTAGAATGATCCTTCTTATATTGCTCTTATCCTTAATGTTGCTATATGTCCTATGCACTTTACTTACTAGCACTATCCTCTGAATTGTTGTGCACCAGTTCACCCACTCATATCAAGATTTGAATTATGCTAATGTTGTTTGATGCTTGTTTTATATTTTGTTATAATGTTGTTTTATGTTGTTTTAAATTGATGTTATGCATTCTAATGTGCTACGTTTTTAACTCTGTTGATTGGACTTGGCCCCATGTAAGTTGCCTCGAATCCCTTCGGGGAGATGGAGGTGGGGTATAAAAATAACATTATTATTATTATTATTATTATTATTATTATTATTATTATTATTATTACAGCTCAACTTCAACAAACAGCCTATTATTAAAAGGGTAGAAATGTAGCTCACCATGCTACATTTCAGATCCTAATTAGACCTCCTAACCAAAGGAAAATTTCAGGATTAAAGAGAGCATGTCTACTTTCCACCTTTTAGACCTCCTAACCAAAGGAAAATTTTGTCTCATTTGTCTCATTTTGCCATTTTTATGTTAGGCAAGGATGGCACCTGCCATCCACCATCACATGGCGTATGACAGGCTCCGCCCACATTCCTCCCAAAGTGAAGGAGAAGTGTCAAAAAGCACTTTCTCCTCCACTATGGGGATGAAAGTGTAATCTGTGTAGTTCCATTTTCCTCCCTTTTGCCATGGGATGGTGGAAAGAGTGGCATGGCAACGTACGTTGCTGCGTTTTACCGTCCTTTCTGCCAAAGCACCCTCTCCCGCTTTCTCTGTGTGATGAGGGCAGGAGGGAGAGGGCATGGGGTACAAGCTGCTCTGGGCACTTTCTCTTTCACCAGCAATTGCAACGGCATGGCACAAAAGGGCTGTGTGAAGAGGTCCTTAGACTCAAGATATCAGCCTATTTTCTCCTCCTACCAGCTTCCTTATGTTGTTCTAGTGAAGGGACACGTTCAGGTTTACCATACTAATAGGGGCGCAATGCCAACCTGTAGGTGTTACTCTGCTTAAATGTTAGCCATTTTATGAAAAAAATTCTCAGGATAATTCCCCAGGATACAAGAATACCTAAGCAAGCTGAAACCACCATATTTCATCACATAATCGTCACACTTTTTGGCCCTTTTTATCAAAGGGGGGAGGTGTGCAACTATTATGCAATGAAAAAAAATCTGCCTTTGATTTTCTGGTTTAAAAAAAATTACTGCATCACTGCCAAGACAAGAGGAGGAGGAGTGGTCCAGTCTTAAACAAACAGCTTAGTTTCTACCGGTATTTGTTTGTTTCTTTGTTTTAAACTGTCCTGCCTTGAAGGAAGGAAGATTTCTCCCTCCTTCCTTCCTTCTTCAAAAGCAAGGCAGTTTACAAAATCTGAAATGGAGCTCTTTGGAGGAAGGAGGAAGAAGGGAAGATATGAGTACCTGAGGCCTCTGTTTCAGGTTTTTTAAAACTGCCTTTCCTATGAGTATGAAGAAAGGAGGGAACCACAGGGCTCTAGATACCTCAGTTTTAGAGTTTTTAAACCGCCTTGTCTTCGAAGAAGGAAGGGACGGAGGGAGGGAGGGAGGGAGGGAGGGAGGGAGGGAGGGAGGGAGGGAGGGAAGGAGGGGGTAATCAAGGCCAAATGACTCTGCAACTATTATGCAAGGAACACAACAATACCAGTTTTGCCAACCAAAATATGTTGACTATTATGCAATGAAATACTTACGCAACACAACTGTTATCCTAAACACACAAGTACCAATGAATGATTGTGAAAAAGAGAATGCCATATTTTAGAATTGCCCGAGTTTTGACAGCACCTGAAAGAAGCTGTTTATCCAACAGACCAGGCTTTCTACGCACTATATAGAAGTTGGACCTCATCACACTAGAGCATCTATTCACTTTAAATCCAGTTGCTTTGACCTGCAGAATTCTAGGATTTGTAGTTTAGGGAGGTACAAGACCTCTATGGCTGAGTAGTTTAAAGGCCCTTCCCTAAACTACAAACCCCAGAATTCTGCAGGACACCACAACTGGATTTAAAGATGCTCTAGTGTGATGAAGTCCATAGAGAGTAGTATAGTCTTTTTTAAAGTGGATCATGCCAGATAGTACTTGTGGGGTAGAAAGTCCTATTCCACATGCAAAAATACTATGGAACCAATGGGGTAGAACAAAACATAAACTACAGGTGCTTCAGCTTTCAAATTACTTTGAAAGGGGTTACAGGATTTGAACATGTAGACCTCAAACTGTAGTCTGAAATACAGGGTCCAAGTGAAGAAGGGACTAAGCAGACTTGGGGCCCTTCTACACTGCCATATAATCTAGATTGTCAAAATAGATAATCCCTATTATCTGCTTTGAACTGGATTATATGTGTCTACACTGTCAGATAATCCAGTTCAAAGCAGTTAATCTGGATTTTATATGGCAATGGAGAAGGGGCCCATGTTTCAAGGCTATAGCAGGGAATCACCAAGAGAAACGGAATGCATCAAAACCAAGGCCCCCTCCACACAGCTGTAGAAAATCCACATTGAACTGGATTATATGGCACTGTGGACTCAGGGCCCTTCCAGACAGACCCTACACCACAGGATCTGATCCCAGATTTTCTGCTTTAAACTGGATTATATTAGTCCCCACTTCCAGATAACCTGAGATATAAGGCCTGTCTGGGAGGGCCCTCAGATAATCAAGTTCAAAGCATATATTGTGGATTATCTGCCTTAATAAGATAAAGGTAAAGGTTTCCCCTGACATTAAGTCTAGACAAGTCCAACTCTGGGGGTGGTGCTCATCTCCATTTCTAAGCTGAAGAGCCGGTGTTGTATGTAGGCACCTCCAAGCTCATGTGGCCAGCATGACTGCAATGGAGTGCCATTATATTCTGGGTTACATGGCTGTCTGGAAGGGCCCAGAGTTCTATAAATGTAAACAGGGTTTTTTATTTCAGACACACAAGGTCTGAGTCTGACAGGTTGTAGAGCTATACAGACAGAGTTTTGACTAAGAATGGGAAGAAAGAATTACCTGTGATAATGAGGACCTTAAAGTAGATATTGTTAGTAATTGTTATCCTTTTCCACATGATTGTTCTTTTTGTTAAAAAACTATCTTGGACTGGCTATCCAGTATGATGTGAGGTCAGGCCATGTATACCAAAAAAAACGAAGTCACAAAATCACAAATTCACACTGAAGGCAAAGCAACCCAATCCAGCAAAGACATAATTGGGGGGGGGGGGGGGGGGGAGAGAGAGCAAGAACAGGTGACTTTTGGAGCTAACATGGGTACATTGATCTGTTACAGCATCCGATTATATTCTACTTCTGTACTTTTGAGAAATTCCAGAAAACTCGGAGCTCCTGGAAACAAATCCAAAGACAATAAGTTTTGCCTTGGCCATTTGTCCATAACGGCTAGCTAACTGCAGTTCTGTTCACTTTTACTCTCTGAGTACACGTACCAGGCTTGCAGGCTTTGTACAGTTTCGTTAGCAGTTGCATGCATTTTTCGTCTTCCCAAAGGTGCAAGATTTGTGATAGAACATACAAGTCAGCTTCAGGAACTGGATCCTTAAAAAAATCCCCTGCAAGAAAATAGGTATAGCAAAGCTATTTAATTAAACATGTTGTCTTACAAAAATAGTAAGTAATCCTACCCTTTAAAAATTACTACTGTTAAGGTATGTCTACTGGTCATTTTGGCCATGCTATCTACTGGGGCAAACCACATTGGATTTGGTTCTATTTATTCTCAGCAAAGCCAGGCAAAGCGGGACACTTTGCCTGGTCATTCTGATGAGACCCCTAGTTTGACACCTGTTGTTTTAGTGGTTGTCCATGTTCACAATTAACATAAATGTGGCATCTAATACCGGATTTGTTGCACAAGTACGGTAGAGTCTCACTTACCCAACCTAAACGAGCCGGCAGAAACTTAGAAAAGTGAAAATGTTGGATAATAAGGGGGGATTAAGGAAAAGCCTATTAAACGTCAAATTACGCTAGGATTTTACAAGTTAAGCATCAAAACATTGTGTTTTACAACAAATCTACTGAAAAAGCAGTTCAATATATGGTAATCTGCCACCTGAAGTCCGTGCCTTGCGGGACTTATCAGCTTTCCGCAGGGTATGTAAGACATACCTGTTTCGACAAGCCTTTGATTTGTGATATTGTGATATTGCTGTTTTTAAATTGTTTTACATTGTTTTTAAATTGTGTTAGATTTTAGCCATTCTTGTAAGCCGCTCCGAGCCCCAGGGGAGTGGTGGCATATAAGTTCAAATAATAAATAAATAAATAAATAAATAAATAAAATGTTATTTAGTAATTTATGAATTTAACACCAAAACATCACAATGTATTGAAACAGCTGTGGATCCAGGCAGGAGGTAGAGTGTGTTGGATAATACAGAACGTTGGATGAGCGAAAGTTGGATAAGCGAGACTGTACTGTATTGTGCATATGGTTTCATAACTTCTTAAACAATGGCATAAGTTTGCTCAGTTGTGCTAGTAGTTTTATGTCAGATATAGAGCCTTAAATAGAGTGAAAGACTTTATGGATAGTCCTAAAAGCAGGTCAGAGATCTCCAAAATGGAAATTTCAGGTCCTAGATAACTCTTTGGCTTGTATCCAGTGGAATTATTGTGCTTGTGATTAATGTTAATGTTAATATATGTTAATATTCAGAGTTAATATTCAGTTTGTATACATTTTGTTGCACAAATGATGCAATTGCCATTCCCCTCCATAATAGTTATGTCCTAGTTGGCATAACCAGGATTGAAAAATAATATTATCTTCGCCTATTTTATATTTTTAAAACTTCTTGCTACAGATAGTTTGTTTGCACAAAACACTGTAATTTAATACAAGTATAACTTGCGAACATTGAATAAGATGCTTTAAGCTCTTTGACACTGAAATACTGATATCAGTAGCATTTTTTAGCTGAACTAGTGGCCTGACGTAATAAGAGCAGTTTCCAAGGTCATGTCTCAGGAGAAAACATATTTTACCTCCCTGGAATGAAATCCGGCTGTCTTCTAAGGCTACAAAATTATTTTTTGCTTTTTCCACTACATCTGGTAGATCAAAAATGGTCACAGAAGAATCTGGATGTGATAAAATATGTTCTTCAGCAAAGATGCCACTTCCCCCTTGAAGGAATAACAGAATATTACAACATTAAAAAAAATATCTACTTTCAAAAACCTTCCAGTGTACAATATAGGAAATATGACTGTCCATAAGTTTGGGCCAATGACAAGATTGAGCATCATTTCTTATTTAGCTCCAAGGATTTGATATGAGTAAAAGTTTATCAGAGCATAAAGAAACAAAGTCATCTAGAACTTAAAGAAAGCAACACTTTCAGAACAACAAAGAAGCATGGAAGAGTATGACTAGTTGGCATAGCTGAAAGGATAGATCAACCATTATTTTATCTTATATATTGAATTATAGAATAAAATGTGGTGTAATTTGGCAATAAGAGCATTTCAAAGTTCTCCACCTTCTTAAATAAAGAAATCCAGCCCAGTCAAAACTGTAAAAAAATTAATTTGTGGTCAGTTTTTGGCTTAGTTGGTCAATAGAAAATTGATTTTCATAATTATATGAGAAGACTGTGAATATTTTTAAAAACAGAGAAATCTATGCAAAGGAGTCAATCAGTATCCATAAAGTGAAACTTCTCAAAGAACTAGTAGAGATTAAAGAGACCATGATTGATATGTAGACACTTGATATGTTAAGATCAGCATGAATTAGCATGACCCACTGAAGAGTAGATGACTGATTGCAACCCTGGGATTATGACTAGCACTGGACCAGGGCTGTGGCTCCTTCTGACTGAGTAACGCTGCCTGGTTTGAGTGGTGGCAGGTTTCTGTTGTGAAGAAACCTCTTCCAGTCTCATTTATAAAACATAAGGCTTAATTGTCACTTGCTTTTCTAGTATGTTCAGTTCAGTTACTTTACTTCTGTCCTACTTCATGAAAAAACTTAGCAAGATTCTTTCCCTCATCATATCATCTAAGAATATGATTTTGAGATTCATATAAATGAATTCAGTTGAATATGTGTACTACTCACCTCCCAGATCACAAATATGATGAAAATGAGAAAGATCAAACATAGATATCATTTCTCTACTGTACAGAGTCCAAAAATTTTTCATTGCATTGAAATATAGTTGCGCCTTTTCTTCTGACCTAGGAATTGAAATAATATTTTATGCAAAACCATTCTTTCTTTTCCAATTCTCTTGAAAACATGATAGAGAAAAATACTACTTTTACCTATACATAGACTGAACAAAATCTTTCGTTGAAGAATCATGTATTGAGCTGATCTGATTTTTTCCTTCCCTGAAAAAAAAGTAAATAAAATCTGTTAGCTTAAGCTGTAAAATCAACATTACACTCTTCTCCAAACCATATGATACTATACTCCTAATTGAATAAATGTGTAGTACTGTTTATTACTTGTTGTTGTTGTATGCCTTCACAATTTCTTTGTGACTTACGCTGGCTCTAAGGTCAACTTATCACGGGGTTTTCAGGGGCTGAGATTTGCCCAGGATCATCCAGAGGTTTTCCATAGCTGAGCTGGTGTTTAACACCAACATTTAAAAATTTGAAATTCACTCCTCTATTCAAAATGTCTACACAGAAGAGGTAAGGATTAGTTGGCTCAAATTGTTGTATACAACTCAGCTGTAAATTCTAAATTCTATCCTACCTTGCATATACTTTTGATCAGGCTTCAGCTGTCAACCAAACATGATGCATGTTGCTTGAAAATATCTATTCCATGAGGAATTGATATGGCCATGGTCGTGCCAATACTATTTGTCCCACAGCTGTGGGTAGGAGGACAGGACAATTTCACTTCACATACTTCTATTTCTGAAAAGGCAGGCACCATTTCCAGGTTGACACTTAGACACTCTGGACTATACTCTTAGGGCCCATCCAGGCAAGCCAAAAACACGGGACCTGTCTTGGTTTTACTGGAGGTGTCCAAACAACACCTCCGGTAAAGTGAATTAATTTTGAGTAAACCAAAGTTTCCCTGGTTTATTCCTTGTTTATTAAATACCTCATTAGGTAAATACCTTACTTTGAAAAGCCCAGAGGAGCAGAATGGTGCCTACCCCCTTCACTCTAGTCCCCAAATGTATCATGCCGGCAGCATGGGCCTGTCCCTACAGTCCCCTTGGCACAAAGAAATTGTGGGTTTCTGAAGCAGTTTTCCCCATTTCTGAAGCAGTTCCCTTCTAGCATCCTTACCTTATAGCATCTGCCAAGTATTGAAAACTGGGATAGAAGAATTCAGAATCCAACTTCATGTAAGAATACTGAGACTTTGGGCTTGATTTAGCAAGGTAGAGATTGGCAAGGGCTGTGTTTCCGTAAAAATCTTACAATAGAGAGGGGAAAAGATGGTGATATAAACCCTGAAAGAAAGAGGTTTGATAAGTCATGATTGCCCACCCCCACCCCATTATCAAACAACAGCTGTTAGAGTTGACTATGGCTCTTTCTACACTGCCATATAAAATTCAGATTGTCTGCTTTGAACTGGATTATATGACAGTGTAGACTCGTATTATCCAGTTCAAAGCAGATAATGTGGATTTTATGCTTTGATAATCTGGTTTGTATGGCAGTGCAGAAGGGGCCTAAGGATACATCTACACTGAAGAATTACTGCAGTTTGATACCACGTTGACTGCCACGATTTAATATTATGGAATGCTAGGATTTAAAGTTTGGTGAGGCACCAACATTCTGTCAGAGAAGGCCAAAGTTCTTGTAAAACTATAACTCCCATGGCTTGCTGTGAGTTTTCCAGGCTGTATGGCCATATATAACTCCCATGATTCCATAACACTGAGCCATGGCAGTTAAAGTTATGTCAAAGTGAATTTATTCAACCGTGTAAATACACAGTAGGATTTTTGGTCTACTTTGCTAATCCATTTTAACTTGCTAATCAATTATTCAGAATCATTACAATATTTCATTTTGCTAGACAGATTGCAGTTCATTAGAATGGTGTAAAAAAGGTACAATTGAATCAACCCTTTTGTTTCCTCTTGATAAAACTTCTGGTTAAGCAACGTATACACATAGTTTGCAATGTTTTCAATGCCTTAATTATTGCAGAAGCAATAATTAAGACAGCGGATACATACCTCCATAATATCCATCCAACAACAATACTACAAATGACACCGCATGCAAATAGCATAACTGATATTTTCAGTGATACCAACTTAGAGGTAAGTTGAAGATGTGACCCCACTATAGTAAGAAAACGAAACAAACCTGAAAAATACAAGTTGTGTAATAAAAAGATAGCTTAGGGAACACACAGGAATCTACTGTCATAAAGAACCGTGACCTTCAGTGCCTCGGTGCCCTTCTTCACCTTGTATTATTTCTTGTCAATGGCAAATAGCCTACTGTGCTTAACGGTAGGCCAGACTCTGGTGTGTGTATTGGAGAGAGGGGAGAATCACATATCCAGGCATCATGTATCTAGGCATCATTTCACTTAGAAGTAACATTCGGAATTGACATCAGTGGGACAAAGCAGAAAGATGATGTGATAAGTCTACAGAGAATGACCTCTAGCTGTTGATTTAGAGGTAGGACAGGCTGCTGCAGAAATGAATGCAAAAACATGAAATGGCAGCAGTGAAGAGGAAAGAGTGGTTTAACAGCGACCAAACTAAGAGTTCAATGAATTACATCAAGAGATAATCTAGATCAGAGATTTTAAAACTGTGTGTTGCTTGTTGCTTGCAGTGTGTAGGTGAACATAACAAGAAACCTCTGAATCTATGCAAAATAAGCAATAAATCATATATATTTTAAAATATAAATGAAAAATTTTCACTAGGCATGTGCCCCCATACATTTGTTACGACAATCCATGCATTTGTCTGTATCTCTCATAGGGGATCAGTTTAACCTCTGGTTTGCTAGTAAAACTCAATTACTGTGTCATCAACATGAAATGTCAGGAAAGCTCTGCTCTAGATGGACTTTCTGTAGCTCTGGCTCTCTTTTTCAGCTACCACGACTTCAGCCAGAGATTTGAAATGAACTTAGGTACTTGTGTCCTCCAGTATAATCCCTTACTTTGATATGGTTACCTTTGTTATCCCTACTTTCTATTCTCAACAGTTTTAAAGCTACACAGGCTTCCAGCAGCCTTTGCATTCCTATGTGACGGGTCCCCAGTCGTTCGGCAATAGCCACGGAGGTCAGGGGTTCTTCTGATTCACTCAGCAGATCAAACACTCCCAGCTCAGCAGCAGTAAACATAACCTGGAAATAACAGGAAGCAAATTAAAAATGAAAAGAATTAATAAATGACCAATGCAGGCTGAGTATACTTTATCTGGAATTCCAAAACTGTCCAGATGAGTTGCTAGATAGCAAAACCTTCAACATTTAACCTTGCTGATTTACTCGAACTTGCTGAAAATGATGAGAATAGTTTATTGAATGATTGTATTAGTTCATTCTTTAATCTGACACCTTGAGCTTCTGACTTGCCTTCGAATGAATGATATCAGCCAAAACTAAAAGCTTTATGAAGTGTGTAAGACCAATAGTAATGGAGGACACCACAACATGAGAAACTGTATTAAGAGGTTGCGGCATTTGGAAGGTTGAGAAACACTTATCTACAAAGTGAATGATGTTCAGAAAAGACAGTCATAGTATTTTTCATAAACCCACTAACGAGCTGAAGCTTCCAGTGTCAGTAGTTGTAAGATCTTACTTTTGATATGACAAATCCATTCTGGTACTGAAATAGGGTGTTAAAAAGTTCAGAGTCTTCCGTAGAAGCCATTCTTCTTCACTGCAGTCTTTGTCACTTGAATCTGTTGTTTTCCCTTGATAAAATGTTTTCTGCTCAATGCAGCAAGAAAAAAACACTTTTTTACTGTTTCATATTTTCTGAATACCCCAACTGTAGAACACAGAGCAATTTTTAAAATTGTAATTTGCTTTAGGCCAGATTGACTCACAGAATAACCCAAAAGCTGTTTCAACAAGAACATTGTTCATGATAAAGAGAAATAGCCCGTCTTAGTGAATCAGACAATAATTATGTTAAATTATAGAATGCTGGAAAAAGATTGTTGGAATTATCATACTGATAACACAGGAAAGACACGAGTAGATCTAAAACAAAGAGCTAGCTGTTCCAAAAAAGAAAAGCGGAACAGTAGGGTTACTAAAAACCAGATAAACCAGAACTATCTCCAACATAAGATAGAGAAAATAAGAGATAAAGGTCATTACATTGGTTACCTGAAAATACTGGCAGAGAAAAAAGCAAGAAGTCTATTTGGTGGATTGGTTTTTGTTAGCCACGGCTTTTCCTTATATAAGTTGGCAGTACAGATTTCTGATAACCAGCAGCCTGCAGACGTTTCAAAATACAAGTAGAACCTTACTGATTGCACATATTATGACATGTATTAACCTTTTATTCTTATTCACAAAGAAGCCACCTTGAAGTTAAGATCTGATAGATAAGTGATTGAGTTCAGCAAAGTAAATATTGGTACATTTGTGCAAGCACACTTGATGCTCTTCTTGAGAAAGAGTTGGTTTCAAGGAGAAAATTGTTGCAATCTCACTTTCAACATATCGTACTACATATGACATTGATGTATTTAATTTGAGCTGTGTCTCTTGTTCAGTTTACATTTTCAAGTATTTCTCTTCAAAATATGCATCTTCCCTCTCTTTCGAGACTGAAGTCATACCCACTTGACAAACTGAATTTGCACAATTTTTCCTTACATGCCCTAATAACTATATACTAGTCTGATTATTATATTTCTATCAAATACATTTAATGTGGTATAGCAAAAAAAGGGAACATGACACTATCAGAAAACAAACTGTATCTTTGGTAGGCGTGTAATACCTTACTAACTCAGACAAGAATAAATAGTAAAAAAAAAACCTCTTGTGTGTGGGCAAAATTTAACGTAAGTAAAAGAAAAGCATCCTTGCACAAGGATTAAAAGTTAATGCATTGATAATTCCCATGATGAGTTGCAGCTTGCTCAGCTGGTCAGCATAGTTTGTAAACTTCAGCTTTAACTATTCTTGCTGAACAAACATATAGCTTTGCGGACTTTATGCAGGTCAGCCTTACAAACCGAATCTTTAAAATTCCTTTTTTAAACAAGTAAAGACGAAGAACTATTTCTAAAACAGTATGACTTGTAATGATTTACTTTGGAAATGCAACCTTCCAAGCTTTGCTGAGATCAGTAAGGTGAGAGCAATGAAATTAATAATGTCATGTTATCATATTTTCTTCCATTGAAATAAACTGGCATCTGGGACAATGAGCTGAATAGAGGGGTTAAGATGTTGAAAGTTTTTATTATTTAAACATTGAACATGAATGGCACAGGGGCAAAATTATTTTCTTCCCACAATGGCACTGTAATTATTTCCTTTCTTGAAGTGAACCTCCTGTGTCCAATTCTGGGCACCACAACTGAAGAGAGATGTTGACAAGCTGGAATGTGTCTAGAGCAGGGTCACTATAATGATCAAGGGTCTAGAGAACAAGTCCTTTGAGGACCGGCTTAAAGAGCTGGGCATGTTTAGCCTGCAGAAGAGAAGGCTGAGAGGAGACATGATGGCCATGTATAAATATGTGAGGGGAAGCCATAGAGAGGAGGGAGGGGGCTTGTTTTCTGCTGCTCTGGAGACTAGGATGTATAACAATGGCTTCAAACTACAGGAAAGGAGATTCCACCTGAACATTAAGAATAACTTCCTGACTGTGAGAGCTGTTCAGCAGTGGAACTCTCTGCACTGGAGTGTGGTGAAGGCTTCTTTGGAGGTTTCTAACCAGAGGCTGGATGGCCTCTGTTGGAGGTGCTTTAAATGCAATTTTCCTGCTTATTGGCAGGGGGTTGGAGTGGATGGCCCACGAGGTCTCTTCCAACTCAATTATTCTATGATGCTTTTATTCTATGATTCCTTGAAATTAACCCACTGCACTGAAGCCCTTTCTACACTGTGTAAGTGTAACATGCACAGATATCTATAGCAACAACCACAGAAAACTGTAAATTGCAAATCACAATATCTATATTACAGGAAATTCTACATTAAACGTAACGTGGGAACAGTAACTAAACTGATTAGTAATTATTTATACATGAAAGGTTGCTTATCTTAGTATATCTATTGTCTGTATGTTGCTTTTTTCCTTATCTAGTGCATTCAAACATTGTAGGTAAGCATAACACCCGAAGAAAATATTACGAAACAAGGAAAACAACCCGGGAGACCTTGTCGTGTTGTGTCACCATTCCTGATGTTATGCATTGATGAAGAATCTCCTGCAACACAGAAACTGTCATTTTGGAAGCTGAAATGTCATTGTATTTTAAAAATATTGACAAGCAACTTTTCATTTCAGAATAATTGTATTACTATTCCTGGCGTCATGAACTAGTGAAGAATCTCCTGATATATAGAAAATTTCATTCTGGAAGCTCAAGTCTCTTGGTGCTTTTAGTATATTGATAAGCAGCCTTTCATGTATAAATAATTACTAATCAGTTTAGTTACTGTTCCCATGTTACGTTTAATGTAGAATTTCCTGTAATATAGATATTGTGATTTGCAATTTAAAGTTTTATGTGTTTGTTTGCCCTTTCTACACTGCCATATAAAATATAGATTGTCTGCTTTGAACTGAATTTTATGGCAGTGTAGACTCGTATAATTCAGTTCAAAGCAGATAATGTGTATTATTTGATTTGATAATCTGAATTATATGGCAGTGTAGAAGGCACCGGAGAAATGCTTTGTACTCATCCAAGTCCACTTTTTCCCTTCAATATAAAGCAGCAACAGCATGGAATGTAAAACGGCTTCTAGAGGTCCGTTTCTGTCCTTGTTCAGAATGACTTCCATGATTAATACTCCAATACCTGCTCCAAAATATATTTCACAGCTTTAGGAAAGAGAACATATTGTTACTCATTTCGAAAGCATTTTGAAGCCCCTTCCACCTGCCCCCATATCCCAGGATCTGAATCCAGATTATCTGATTATCCTTAGTGTTTCTCAAACTTTGCTCCTCCAGATGTTTTGGACTTCCACGATTCCTAAAAGCTGGTAAAATTGCTGGGATTTCTGGGAACGGAAGTCCAAAAGACCCGGAGGAGCAAAGTTTGAGGTCCCTTCCACTGGATTATCTGAGGCTACGCTGCCATATAATCCAGTTTAAAGCAGATAATCTGGTTTTTATACAGCTGTGTAGAAGGAGCCTGAGAAAGACTGTCCCAGATTATCTGGCAGTGGAGACTCATATAATCCAGTTTAAATCAGATGATCTGGGATCAGAACCTGGGATATAGGGGCAGTGTCGAAGAGACATGCGGAATAAAGGTTCAGATTTCCAAGTAATCAGGGATCAGAAGTTCAAGTTAAAGGAAAATACAGTTTAACCTAGACGGTGCTGACTTATAGGAAAGTTTATGGTAAAAGCAATATGGTGCTGAATAACAATTAACAGGCCATTCTGTGGGGTCTATTTTAGGGGAGAAGTGTAATGTATTAACCAGGAACATGTAGAGCTCAATGGCACCAATATCCAAAATCACAGCTCAACAGGCCCATTTCTGTGGGAGGAAAGTTCAGACTTTTGAACATCCAGCATGGCCCCATATTCCCCCCAAAGCTAATTTTGAACACCAACTGGAATCTCAAGGATAGTGAGCAGATCTCAGCATATTGTCAGTGGCGAGGCTGGACAGAAACTACCTAAATCTGGAAAATCATATCCCTTTCCTCTGCTTTAAAGGAAACTGTTATTTGATTCTAGCCTAAAGCTCAACTAGGCTAGTTGTAGTTCTTTGTGTGTGTGTGTGTGTGTGTGCCAGGAGCAACTTGAGAAACTGCAAGTCTCTTCTGGTGTGAGAGAATTGGCTGTCTGCAAGGAGGTTGCCCAGGGGACGCCCAGATTTTTAAAAAATGTTTTTACCATAAGTGTGGGAGGCTGTTCTCATGTCCCTGCACAGGGAGCTGGAGCTGACAGAGGGAGCTCAACCCAGTCTTCCCGGATTTGAACTGCTGACCTCTCGGTCAGCAGTCCTGCTGGCCCCACTAGGGGCTCCGCTAGTTGTATTAAAAAAAATTAAAATCTCTGAATTCCAGGAATATACAGAAGAGTATAACGAAACCTTTTCTCCTTCCCTACAGGAGGGATATGCAAAGAAATGAAACTGAGGCTGCCCCCGCACTGGAGAATCATAGCAGTTTGACAATACATTAACAGTCATGGGTTTAAGCTATGGAAATTTGGGATATTTTTTCCTGTCAGAAAGTTCTGGTGCCATACCAAAATACAAATCCCAGGATTCCACGGGATGGAGGTATGGCAGTCTTAGGATATAGCTCTACAGTGTGGATGAGAGGTAAGACCACATACAGATTGCACAAATGTAGTAGTTCACGGCTTTTATACTGAAATTTTGCTTCAGTTTCTGAGACCCAGCAACATACTGAAAAATCTGGGAGGTTTTACTTTTCCTGATTCCTTTTCTGTGTTTTTTTTTTTTGTTCCTAACAGCAGAGGATTATTTTTTTGTGCTTTACCAATCTCTTCATTCCTTTCTCTTGAATGTTTTAAGGTGAATCACCAGTGTTTTGTGAAATACACAAAAAATTGTAATAAAAATAGAAGGGGTGTCAGAAATATTAAATATTAACTAGGTATTTTTGATTACAAAAGTGTGAGTCAAGCACTGAAAGTGCTTGTAGGCCAAAGCCTGTTAGAGTTAGAGGGCCAAAGCTAGTGTTGTCCTGAGGAGTGTGAGGTAAACCTCAGTATGAGAGAAGCCTTGCATGAGAAGGCTGCTGCATGTAAAACTACTGTGTATTTCTTTATTTGTGTCA